CTACAGAGTGAGTGGAGTTTGTATGTTCTATCCCTGTTCTACAGAGTGAGTGAGTGGAGTTTTTTTGATCTACCTCTGTTCTACAGAGTGAGTGGAGTTTGTATGATCTCCCCGTGTTCTACAAAGTGAGTGAATGGAGTTTGTATGATCTCCCCCTGTTCTACAGAGTGAGTTAGTGGAGTTTGTGTGATCTCCCCCTGTTCTACACAGTGAGTGAGTGGAGTTTGTATGATCTCCCCTGTTCTACAGAGTGAGTGAGTGGAGTTTGTATGATCTCCCCCTGTTCTACAGAGTGAGTGAGTGGAGTTTGTGTGATCTCCCCCTGTTCTACAGAGGGAGTGAGTAGAGTTTGTGTGATCTCCCCCTGTTCTACAGAGTGAGTGAGTGGGGTTTGTATGATCTCCCCCTGTTCTTTAGAGGGAGTGAGTGGAGTTTCTGTGATCTCCTTCTGTTCTACAGAGTGAGTGGAGTTTGTGTGATCTCCCCCTGTTCTACACAGTGAGTGAGTGGAGTTTGTATGATCTCCCCTGTTCTACATAGTGAGTGAGTGGAGTTTGTATGATCTCCCCCTGTTCTACAGAGTGAGTGAGTGGAGTTTGTGTGATCTCCCCCTGTTCTGTAGAGAGTGAGTGGAGTTTATTGATCTCCCTCTGTTCTACAGAGTGAGTGAGTAGAGTTTGTATGATCTCCCCCTGTTCTACAGAGGGAGTGAGTGGAGTTTGTGTGATCTCCTTCTGTTCTACAGAGTGAGTAGAGTTTGTGTGATCTCCCCCTGTTCTACAGAGTGAGTGGAGTTTGTATGATCTCCCCCTGTTCTATAGAGGGAGTGAGTGGAGTTTGTGTGATCTCCTTCTGTTCTACAGAGTGAGTGGTAGTTTGTGTGATCTCCCCCTGTTCCACAGGTGAGTGAGTGGAATTTGTATGATCTCCCCCTGTTCTACAGAGGGAGTGAGTGGAGTTTGTGTGATCTCCTTCTGTTCTACAGAGTGAGTGGAGTTTGTATGTTCTATCCCTGTTCTACAGAGTGAGTGAGTGGAGTTTTTTTGATCTACCTCTGTTCTACAGAGTGAGTGGAGTTTGTATGATCTCCCCGTGTTCTACAAAGTGAGTGAATGGAGTTTGTATGATCTCCCCCTGTTCTACAGAGTGAGTTAGTGGAGTTTGTGTGATCTCCCCCTGTTCTACACAGTGAGTGAGTGGAGTTTGTATGATCTCCCCTGTTCTACAGAGTGAGTGAGTGGAGTTTGTATGATCTCCCCCTGTTCTACAGAGTGAGTGAGTGGAGTTTGTGTGATCTCCCCCTGTTCTACAGAGGGAGTGAGTAGAGTTTGTGTGATCTCCCCCTGTTCTACAGAGTGAGTGAGTGGGGTTTGTATGATCTCCCCCTGTTCTTTAGAGGGAGTGAGTGGAGTTTCTGTGATCTCCTTCTGTTCTACAGAGTGAGTGGAGTTTGTGTGATCTCCCCCTGTTCTACAGGTGAGTGAGTGGAGTTTGTATGATCTCCCCCTGTTCTACAGAGGGAGTGAGTGGAGTTTGTGTCATCTCCTTCTGGTCTACAGAGTATGTGGAGTTTGTATGTTCTATCCCTGTTCTACAGAGTGAGTGAGTGGAGTTTTTTTTGATCTCCCTCTGTTCTACAGAGTGAGTGGAGTTTGTATGATCTCCCCGTGTTCTACAAAGTGAGTGAGTGGAGTGTGTATGATCTCCCCCTGTTCTACAGAGTGAGTTAGTGGAGTTTGTGTGATCTCCCCCTGTTCTACACAGTGAGTGAGTGGAGTTTGTATGATCTCCCCTGTTCTACAGAGTGAGTGAGTGGAGTTTGTATGATCTCCCCGTGTTCTACAGAGTGAGTGAGTGGAGTTTGTGTGATCTCCCCCTGTTCTGTAGAGAGTGAGTGGAGTTTGTATGATCTCCCCCTGTTCTACAGAGTGAGTGGAGTTTGTATGATCTCCCCCTGTTCTACAGAGGGACCGAGTGGAGTTTGTGTGATCTCCCCCTGTTCTATAGAGGGAGTGAGTGGAGTTTGTGTGATCTCCTTCTGTTCTACAGAGTGAGTGGAGTTTGTGTGATCTCCCCCTGTTCTACAGGTGAGTGAGTGGAGTTTGTATGATCTCCCTCTGTTCTACAGAGTGAGTGAGTGGAGTTTGTGTGATCTCCCCCTGTTCTACAGAGTGAGTGAGTGGAGTTTGTGTGATCTCCCCCTGTTCTACAGAGGGAGTGAGTGGAGTTTGTGTGATCTCCTTCTGTTCTACAGAGTGAGTGGAGTTTGTGTGATCTCCCCCTGTTCTACAGAGGGAGTGAGTGGAGTTTGTGTGATCTCCCCCTGTTCTACAGAGGGAGTGAGTGGAGTTTGTATGATCTCCCCCTGTTCTACAGAGTGAGTGAGTGGAGTTTGTATGATCTCCCCCTGTTCTACAGAGTGAGTGTAGTTTGTATGATCTCCCCCTGTTCTACAGAGTGACTGGAGTTTGTGTGATCTCCCCCTGTTCTACAGAGTGAGTGAGTGGAGTTTGTGTGATCTCCTTCTGTTCTACAGAGTGAGTGGAGTTTGTGTGATCTCCCCCTGTTCTACAGGTGAGTGAGTGGAGTTTGTATGATCTCCCTCTGTTCTACAGAGTGAGTGAGTGGAGTTTGTGTGATCTCCCCCTGTTCTACAGAATGAGTGAGTGAAGTTTGTGTGATTTCCCCCTGTTCTATAGAGGGAGTGAGTGGAGTTTGTGTGATCTCCTTCTGTTCTACAGAGTGAGTGGAGTTTGTGTGATCTCCCCCTGTTCTACAGAGGGAGTGAGTGGAGTTTGTGTGATCTCCCCCTGTTCTACAGAGGGAGTGAGTGGAGTTTGTATGATCTCCCCCTGTTCTACAGAGTGAGTGAGTGGAGTTTGTATGATCTCCCCCTGTTCTACAGAGTGAGTGTAGTTTGTATGATCTCCCCCTGTTCTACAGAGTGACTGGAGTTTGTGTGATCTCCCCCTGTTCTACAGAGTGAGTGAGTGGAGTTTGTGTGATCTCCTTCTGTTCTACAGAGTGAGTGGAGTTTGTGTGATCTCCCCCTGTTCTACAGGTGAGTGAGTGGAGTTTGTATGATCTCCCTCTGTTCTACAGAGTGAGTGAGTGGAGTTTGTGTGATCTCCCCCTGTTCTACAGAATGAGTGAGTGAAGTTTGTGTGATTTCCCCCTGTTCTATAGAGGGAGTGAGTGGAGTTTGTGTGATCTCCTTCTGTTCTACAGAGTGAGTGGAGTTTGTGTGATCTCCCCCTGTTCTACAGAGTGAGTGAGTGGAGTTTTTTTGATCTCCCCCTGCTCTGCGTGGCTTTCCTCCGCATTTTCGGGTTTCCTCCGACAATTAAAAACGCGCCGCACACTCACACGGAGTGATGTCGCCGGTATTCGGCCACGACATCCCGATCCTGACAAATGACCCTCAGCTGGCATCACTCACAGCAGCAACATCGCCTCCACACCACGTAACTGCGACAGACGCTCCCGACAATGGAGTCGTGAGACTCGGCGAGGCTTATTTCTTTTTGCCGGCTAAACGAGAGCGTGACGTCGCACTCCGCTTACGAAAAAAAAAACTTAATAAGGGGACGTCCAAAAATGACGTCACGCGATTTTGGACGATTTTTGACCGCCCCCCCCCCCCCCGCCGCGTCACACGGCGTCACAAAAAGTCAGACACCCCCCCCAAATATGACGTCACAAAGCTCTGCCCCCCACCCCCCCCCCAAAAAAAAATATAAAAGACGCTTCAAATCGCTTTAAACTTTTGTCATTGTAGTGCGTATTTAATGTGGCGCTGCACTCTGATGTTGTAGGAGAAAACATTTATTAAAAAGTCTACTTAATTAAGTAGAACGTGTTGTCTATATTTATTTAAAGTTGCGCATTTTGATGTGACGTCACATTTCTAAACCCCCACCCCCCCCCCCCCTCGTAACACATCGTCACAAATGTCTAACTCCCCCCCCCCCCACCCCAGGTGCGTGACGTCATTTATGGACGGCCCCCTAAGTATCAGGGGGAATGGGCAGAAGGAAGCCACTGTGGGAGCTCCAGTGACGTCACGGGCGCCACGGTGGCTAATGTGAACTCCCTCGCCCGGTATACAGGAGGCGCGTGGGTTCGATCCCGACCCCTGGACGCCTGCTTCCTTATTCGTCGTTTCGACGAGCGTCATGATGAAGGAATAGACAGCCCAGCACAGCGAGTGTGATGACAGTGGGTGTGACGATCGGGTAAGCAACTTGGTCGTTGGAAATAGGAGGAAGCACTGATTGGTGGGACTGCGTGTTGCATTAGATCGACAGGTGAGGGTGAGAGAGACAGGTGAGGGTGAGAGAGACAGGTGAGGGTGAGAGAGACAGGTGAGAGTGACAGAGACAGGTGAGAGGGACAGGTGAGGGTGAGAGAGACAGGTGAGGGTGACAGAGACAGGTGAGAGTGACAGGTGAGGGTGACAGAGACAGGTGAGGGTGAGAGAGACAGGTGAGGGTGACAGAGACAGGTGAGAGTGACAGGTGAGGGTGACAGAGACAGGTGAGGGTGAGAGAGACAGGTGAGGGTGAGAGAGACAGGTGAGGGTGACAGAGACAGGTGAGAGAGACAGGTGAGGGTGAGAGAGACAGGTGAGGGTGACAGGTGAGAGGGACAGGTGAGGGTGACAGAGACAGGTGAGAGAGACAGGTGAGGGTGAGAGAGACAAGTGAGGGTGACAAAGACAGGTGAGGGTGAGAGGGACAGGTGAGGGTGACAAAGACAGGTGAGGGTGACAGAGACAGGGA